GCAAGCCCCGGCGGGGCAGCGGGCACAGCCCCGGCCGGCAAGAGGTGCCCGCGGCCAGGGACTGCGGGGCAAGGACGCGACCTGCCAGCCCTTCAGCTTGCCGCGTCTTTGGGCCCCTTCGTTAAAACACAGCACATCAAACGCTGCTTGACTTTTTTAACTGATCAGAGCAAGCCGGCAAAGCAGAATGTGGTACCCAGGCGCATTTCTAAAAATGCTTCTGTGGAGGGTGCTTTTCTGAATGAACTGCGCGCTCCTGAAAAATAGACGTTCTCTGTTAAACGAAGCTGAGGAGATTTCTTAAGCCAGGTCTAAGTGGGGGAAGTTGAGGAAGGCTGCCTGCAGTCGTGACCTGAGCCGTAGCCCTGTCTGTGCACGTGTCTGATCCCACTGTATTGCGATAGTATATCGTTTCCTCCTTCTTCAGTAGGTGTCGCCAAGTGAAAAGTAAGTCCAGATTGTTAAAACCAGCAGTGGCGATTTGCTGATTGCATCCTGAGTGCGTGGAATGTATAGAAAGTTCACTAAAGATTCATAGAAGTGATGGCCTCTTAAAGCATGCACAAAAACTTCTCTTTAGGGGTCAGCTCAATGTTAAGGGACTCTTGCCTGTGCAAGGATTATACAATTGGGCTGTATTAGATGAACAAAAAAACTTTCACAGGAAGGACTGACACCTAACAGAAGAAAAAAATGTAGTCAAGCAATGGTCAGTGATGATGATGATGATGTTCACTGCTTTTAAAGTGTACCAGAGGAATAGCCAAAGATGTCAGAAAAGATCTGTGCAACGGAACTAGAAACTATTAGAAAGTAAACAACTTCACTTTCTAGGAGCCACGTTTGGGCTTTACAAGTTCATAATCTCAATATATGTGACAATAGGGATGCATTAGCAGCACTGTCTGAGTTACCTGGAAACGACTGTGTTTATCTGAGGCCATATAAACATTACTAAAAGTTCAGATGACTTTCCTTCTGCTCAGTAATATCATTCAACATAATTACATAGCCGGCATGTTCTCCAAGAGGGGAAAAAGAAAGGGGGGGAAAAAAGAGTGTTTAGAGAGTGCTTTGGATAATTTTACAAGGAGCCTGAGTTTTGCTGGAAGCCAGTGTAATTTAGGTGCTTCTAAATAGTGTCTTTTTAAGATCTTATCCTAAGCAGTCAGGATGAGATACTGAGATTTTTAGGACCTGCTCAGCACCTCTGAAAATAAAGCCTGCAGGGCATTAGTGTTTTGTTCTTGAATGTGACCTCTGTACGGTACAGTCATCCATTACGTAATGATTTTTTGGCTATAGTATAAAACAATACTTAACAACATAGTTTTATTCCCAGGGAGTTAATTGGCCATACATGTTCATAAGGCATGTAAACAAACAGCTACAGCCTAGAAACGCAGCAGGACATATAAGGACCTGTAACGACTTGCAGTCACTGTGCTCCTGTGAAACCACTTGCAGACAGTCATGCTTTGAAAACACCCTTATTAAAGACCTAATTCTGTTCCCACCGTGCCCAGGGAGGTGCACGGCGGCTGCTTTTAATTTCAGCGAGAGCCCTGTTTGACCACCATGTGAACCACTCACGAGCTCTTTGCAGAGGGAGGCAGTTGTCTCTAGAGCTGCTAAACATCAACCCCCTCAACACTCATAGGAGGGGGAAGGACTGAGAAAACTAAAATAGTGTTATTTTATAATTATTTTTTTTAGGCCTTCCTGCAAAGTTTTCTTTGCCAAGGACCCTCTGAAGATAGTGCGTGCTCAGGGCCAATATATGTTTGATGAGAAGGGAGAAAAATACTTAGACTGTATCAACAACGTTGCACACGGTAAGCAGTTCAGCTTTAAGGCTGCTTTTATTCCTTCATTTCTAACAGTGATCAGAACACACTTCTTCCAAGTGATGATGTTCACAGTGCTTCTCTGAATGTCCTTGTGTGGCTCAATAACTGACTGCTTGCTAGTAATAACTAATTATTTCCTTCTTCAGTTGGCCACAGTCATCCATATGTGATAAAGGCTGCAACAAAACAGATGGAACTGCTCAATACAAATTCCCGGTTCCTGCATGACAACCTTGTTCAGTACGCACAGCGTCTCACAGCCACCCTGCCAGAGAAACTCTCTGTTTGCTATTTTGTTAACTCTGGGTATGTCTGAATATTATTATTTTTTTTCCATTGTGACTATCTTGGTCCTGTTTGAGGCGGACACTTAGAAGAGCTTACTCCAAATCTTACTAAGTAGGACTTAGTAATAAGCAACAACAATATTTCCAGTACTGATCGAAGGATCCTTCCTATTTGCAGCTGTCATATGTAGGGTGATGCCTCAATGCAAGAGAGCCAAAACGTGAAACTGGTCAGCTGAATGCTATGCAAAAAGGGGGGGAGGGGAAAGCAAGAAAAAGCAAATTAGACCGCAAATTGGTGAACCCAATCTGTAAATTGACATATGACCTTGGAAATTAGTACTCTTCTTTAGGCAGCCTGTTTAGTCTGTGATCACTTACATTGCCAGAACAGACAACCTGTCGGGCTTGAAGGTTGAGTCATCATTTGGGGAGCAGATTCACGTTCTCTGCTGCCTGAGGGTGCAAATGCTGGGGAGGATGGAGCCGTCGTGGAGGGTGGGAGACGGGGCTGGCACGCTGTTGCTTTTCGAGGGTTTGCGGCTGCATTGCGCTCTCAGCTGCGAAGCACTCTCATTTGTACCAAGAGGATGTAAATATCCACAAGCAAACTGGTGTGTGGGGGGAGAAAGCATCTCTTTGTTTGCTGTTTATACAAAGAGCTGTTTTTTCTTTGCCCTCTTATGTGGCATTTGCAGTCTCAACCTCAGCATTGTAATCTGTAGAGTAACAGAGCCTGCTGTGTTTATTTATTATATTCATTAGTCTCGTGCCTCCTCTTCCGTGTCAGAATACCATTTTAATTGGAAGCCCTTCCTCACTGTTTTGCGGCTGTATCTGTTATTATGCAGGTCTGAAGCAAATGATCTTGCTTTACGACTGGCTCGGCAGTACCATGGGCACCAAGATGTGATCACCCTTGAAAAGTAAGTACATAGAGTAGCTTATGTGAATGCAGCCAGCAACTCTTGCCATTACTTCAGAAGCGGCTTTGCAGACCCCCCCCACCTCCCCCGCTGTTTGTACTCCGCTGCCTGCTGAAAGAAAAGCTTTGTTGCTTTCATACTAGAACAGGTCAGGAAATCCCTTTTCCGCATTTGGATAAACACAAGTTTTGAAGATCTCTGAAAAATAAGCTTGTCAGTCACCCCGGAAGGTCAATCACCTGTTACAGGGCATTTCCCACATAGACTCCCCAAGCATTTCAGGCCAGAGACTTGAACGTTGGTTTGAAACGTCAGTGAGTGGTCTGGCCACTGGGCTGCTCTGGAAAAGGGCTTTCTGTTTGTCACGCTCTGCTGGACACGTTTCTTTTTGTACAAATAAATATCCAGTGGTCAAGAAGAAAGATCCTGCAGCTCTGCGGAGGTGCTGCACTGATGCTCAGCTCTCCTCCAGTGAACAGAAGTATGCATACAAAACCAAGCAGCTCCAAAATCAGGAGATATTGAGAGCTCCATCATCCATGGCTGACCCTGTCTCTGGGTTTCCCTATCCTAGATGCAGCTGTAGGATTGGTTACGCTGCTGTAGCACCGGATCTTCTCGGGCTGTGATTAGAAAGTCCAGCCAGAGCAACTGCAGGAGCACGTGTCTCTATCTGAACTGCACAAAGCTTCTGTGACTCGGCTGTGCTCGGGTTCCTGGTAGCCCTCCTTGACTCAGGTGGCCAAGATTTGGAGCCACTGACAGTAGCTTCCGTCAGGAGGGGCTGAGGATGGAGCTGGCTCTGTCACTGCTTCACTGCAACGTCTTCTGTTCCTGAACAACACAGGGTATTTCTTTGCCCGGGTCCCAAGGTTCTGTAGGCTTCTGCTATAGCTGCTGTCCCAGTCAGGGCGGGCTTTCTGTCCTTCCTATGTGTCCATTGGCAGATTTTGTTGACTGGGTGGTAACAAGGTGTAAAGAAGAGAAAGGAGTGCAAAAACATCCTCTCTACCCTATGTGTGTGCTACTGTGAGGTTGTGACAGGTCTTTGATTTGGTTTGAGGTTCCCTTTGCTTCATGTTTATGGCTCAACTGCTGGCTAAGGCTGCTAGCGCAGCCACCGCAGAGGTGATGCGGTCCCAGGGACATCATCTTGCAAGAAAAAAAACCTCCTGGTTTCAGTCTCGCTAGTGAATTAAAGTCAACAGCAGCTTCATATTGCCTTTGAGAGAAAGACTGAGTAAATTAAATCAAGATCCCTTCACAAACAGTGCTACTGTGTTGCAGATACAGTTGCTTATTCTGGATTATTTATGGGCACAGTTGTAAATTTAGGTCTTCTATAAATTTGGTGAAAAGTGACTTCAATATTTAACACTCATGCAGTGCTTACCATGGCCATGTTACATCTCTGATTGACATCAGTCCCTATAAATTTAATCAGCTGGGAAAGGACAGCAAGAAGGAGTTTGTGCATGTGGTAAGTGTGGTTTTTTGCTTTTTGTTATTTTCATGCCTGTTATGCAGCATATTGTATTACCCACTTTTGGTGTAAATATACTTTTATTCTGTTTTGCTGATGCTAGAGTACATACACTTTGCTGTTTGTCAGTGGATCAAATACAGCAATTTTTTTTATCTTTTGGGTTTCTAGGAGGGTATTCAGCTGTGAGGCTGATTTACTTTATAGTGCTACAAGTTTCCTGAGTCATTGCACTGTATAGTTACACAGTTTGAAGAAATTAGCCAATATCTGTTGCGTTGGTTTGGCTAAAGATATGCAGGGCTTTTGAGTCTACATCCAAAAACTGGAAAGGCAGACCCCACAAGTTCACACAGATCTGGGTATAGAGCTCCAACTGAGCACGGTACTGTTTGATTTTTCAGCCTGAACTTGTATATCTTACAAAGACAAAAGCAATTCTCAGCCCAGAGACATACATCAAGCAGGTTTTTCCTACCTAGACCTCCTTGTGTTAACCACACTGCCAAAGCAGTATCCACCTTTCTATACCACTTCCTTTCTCCTGTTTACTGAACTCTCCCAACACCGTCTGTAGAGGCCTGAAGGTCATAAAGATTCATACCGTGACTCGGACACTGGAAGGGAAGCGACAAACTGGAAAACCCCATTCTCCAGTTGCAGAAATGGATCTTTCTGCAAGAATCTGAAATAAGATGATGGATGAGGACTCAGTATTGTGTCCTGGGGAGAGAAGGGACAGTCTTGAAAGGTGGATGAGGTAGATGATGGCTCTTTCAACAGTCATGTCTAGTAATGTTGAGCACATCACAGGGTTTGAGCTCCTGTAAGCATTTTGCAGTTCCATGCAGAAATTCAGGCTGTCCTATTATCTATATGTGTGGAAAGACAAAAATGCAGAGCAATAGAAAAGAAAGTAAATGTTTCATAGAAGGGTGGGCTTTAAAAAAAAAAAAAAGAAAAAAAAAATGTTTTTTTTTCAGGCTCCTTCTCCAGATATCTACAGAGGGAAATATAGGGAAGACCACCCAGATCCAGCAAGCGCCTATGCTGAAGAGGTGAAAAAGATTATTGAAGAAGCACAGAAGAATGGACGCAAGGTGTGTGTTTTGTGCTCTAGAAATGCTGAGGCTTCATCTGTTAAGCGTGGCATGGGGGCACGAAACAAGCAACTAAGCACATGTTTCTTTACTCAGTTTCCATTGCTTCCCACTCCCCTTCATTTTTTTCGACGGTGGGTTCTGTGTTCAAAATGGGCTATTTTTCTTCCTGATGCTCTTACCATAATTTTTCTAGGCATCAATGAAAGCATCAATAATACAGCTGTAAATAAGCAGATGAAGCCAAAGCAGTTTCATTTCCTATTTTATGCATTGAATCTACTGATTGTAAATATCTTAGGGCAAGCTTTGAGGTCAGCTGAGAAACTACATCACCAGTTCTAGCAAGGATATATAAAAGTCTCCAGGACATGGAGGAAATATGCTAATAAAATCTTGATACTATATTTCTGAGTCTAGTAGTTTAAGGTAACTTTGGAGTCATCTAAAAAGGTGAACCTTTCAATCATACACAATACGACCTTGATAAAAACAGACAATTTCTGAATAGGCTTACTTGAATGTGTGTTAATGTTTTTTATGATGGCATTAGCATTTTGAGACATGTAGAGCTTGATCCAAAGCCCACTGAAGTCACAGAAGACTTCAGTGGAAATCAGAACAGCATGTTCCCTTCTAGTCCAATGGACTTGCATCACTCTTCTTTTAGTTTCTTCATCAACTTTTTTTTATTCTCTACTAACGGATAGTTTTGTTTTTTTCTTCCCTTGTTTCCTTTCTTTTGCATATTTCTTAGGTTGTGGTGACATAGACCTGTGGCAGGACAAGTTGTGCTAAAGGCTAAGCCTCACATGCTATGGGAAGCTTCGTACTCTTTGGCCGTAGCATGCCTCTTCAAATATAGTGTACGGTTCTTTACACGTTACTGCTCGGCCTTGTTTCCAGGAAGACTGCACCAGCCCAGAGAGACCTCTTGATGCTCAGGGAGGGGTTCACAAGTGGTGTGGGGATGCAATCCCTTAAATAGCAGACTTATGCTGAGATTTTGGGGTAATATCGTATCTCTGCTGCATAGACCTCTGCTGTTGACGAGAAACGAATTTTGATGTTCCAGTGTATCTGATCCGCTGCTCTTACCCTTCCCGACTTGAAATAACTTCCTTTTTCATTCCTAGCAACTGGAATTATTTCACTTGTAGAATTTTTCTCCTCTTTTGTCAAGTGCCTCATGTTGACATTTTACTTGTGTAGTTATTTGCATTAGGCAGGGGTGCCCAAAGCATAGCCACAGGTCATTTTACCGTTCAGCTTCTACCCACCTCTACCTGGTGTTCAGGATTGAACAAAAAAGCTGATCACCGCATTTACCCATTACTGGAGAGCCTTGGCATTAAGCAAGTTTCATTAACCTCTTGGGGAAAATGGCAGACACTGTTGTGTGTCTCCTGTAAATTGAAATTTGTAAATAAATTTACAGAGCTCCCAGGAGCCTGACCCAACATCCACTGACATCAGTGTCTTCCACTTCAAGAGGTGTAGGACCAGGGCTCAAAAGAGGTCCTTGTATTCCCATCAGGTTGCAAAGGTGGCCCTGGCTACTGCAAATTTGGGCACCCCAGATTACAAAATGAATAAATTCTTTAGCTGTAGCTGTTCTCAAGAGCCCTCGGTTGTCCAATCCATTGCGTGATTAAATTAAGGCACAAGTTTAAACATTTATTTCTAGACTGTTAGATGTTTGTGTAAAGGCCAAGTAGATGAATACAGCTCTCACCTGAGTTTGTTTTTTGTAGATTGCTGCCTTCATAGCCGAATCCATGCAGAGCTGTGGAGGCCAAGTAATTCCACCTGTGGGCTATTTCCAGAAAGTGGCAGAGTATGTACATCACTTCAAAAGGGCATAACTGGAAAATTAACCAAAGAAATAGGTTTTTCACTATAGGCTTATCCCATCAATTCAGCTATCTCCCTCTCTTGTTCATGGCTATCTGTGGTTCCTTTCTACTTTTTGAAGAGTATTATTCCACTTCTATTTTTTATGGAACATCAGCTGACTAGTTGGTTTTAGCTGGATAATTGTCTTTCCTTTTCTATCTTTAATGCTCAGGCCGTAATTTTGATGGAAGATTAAGTTGAACCATCATAGATATAACCCTGCAGTACTGTTACAGTAGCCCTATTTTGCATGAAAAAAATTAGCAAACTAAAGATTTTTTTAATTGAAATAGCTATATCTGTGTTTCAGCAGCCACGTTCTTTCTTTTTTTTAACTAACCTGGTCTCAACAGTGGAGAATTTCTGTAATACTCACTCCCTTGTCCTAGATTGCTTAACCGAGACGTGTACTGCAGCACTAATCATTCAGGCTCTTCTGTCTGTTTGCAGGTACGTGCGTGCAGCCGGTGGAGTGTTCATAGCTGATGAGGTCCAGGTTGGCTTTGGCAGAGTTGGCAAGCATTTTTGGGCATTCCAGCTGCAAGGCGAAGATTTTGTGCCTGACATTGTCACCATGGGAAAGCCCATTGGCAACGGCCACCCTATGTCTTGTGTGGTCACAACAAGGGAAATTGCTGAAAGTTTTGGTGCCTCTGGATTGGAGTATTTCAATACAGTAAGTTCGTAGATGAAGGTTTGCCTTTTTTTCTTTTGGTCTGCACCTAGCAGTTACAAGTTATTAAGGTGATTCAGCTAGCATCTGCATCCATCACGATATCACTTTACTAGGAGCTCAAGTTAACCGCAATCTAATATCTAAAAGCAAGTGGAGAGGCTTTGAAATATGCTCTGTACCTAGTGGTATATCTTAATATGGACCAGCACTAACTCTCTGGCAAGTTGTGTGTCTCAGCTCACATCCATACAGACAAATTATTCCTTACTTCTCTCTCACTCTCCACCCCCTGTGAAATGTTGACCATGTAAAATTTCATTCTCTAGGACAGACCCTGTGCTGGTGGGGCTCTTGCCCTGGCAGACCTTGCTCTGCAGTTGTCACCTAACAAAACAGCGACCCTTTACCAGGAAACATTTGAGCTGCGTGCATGCCACAGAGAAGCAGCTTTCTTCTTGTTTACTGCGTCCTGTTTCTGCTCCTGTGACTAAGCCTTCTTCCCAGCTCCCATGAATCCGCCTGCTTTCAATGGAGTTTATACCCTCCAGGTCAATAAATATCAGATCTATCACCCACTGTTCACAGGAGCATTTTGCCTCCACATGCAATCAGCAAACCATGACAGCAGCTTGAACGCTTCAGCTGTGAAATCTTCAAATTACTGAAACTCAAAGCAGAGGAAGAGAGACCCCCTCCCTTGGGCCTCTTACACTGACCAAAGTGTGGGGGACAGTGCTCCACAGCCTGCGTGGCACAAAATCCCCACCTCTTCAAGCTTTCTTTATGACGTGCCAAGCAGGAGAGGGCAAGTGAAAACAACATGGATAGACACAGATGAATGTTTCTGACAGGTTTTATTTTCCTATTTGTCTTTACTATCAGTTTGGAGGCAATCCAGTGTCTTGTGCTATTGGTTTGGCTGTGCTGGAGGTAATAGAAAAAGAAGATCTCCAAGGAAATGCTACACGTGTAGGAAATTATCTCCTGGAGTTGCTGGCTGAGCAAAAAGAGAAACATCCCTTAGTGGGAGATATCAGGTGGGTGCCTTACAGCGATGTCAGAGAAGAAAAATAACTATGCTAGAAAAATCAAAAAGATTGGGGTGAGGGGAACACAGAAACATTATGTCATGATAATGCTACACCTCTTTTTTTTAAAATGGACTACCCCAAACTGATACTGTAAGGCAATAAATTTTTCAAAAAAGTTGTCCATCCATCTGCTTAGTTAGGTATAAGCATAGCCACTAGAAGAGCTCTGGAAGAAAGTAGAAGAGCCATCCATGTGCAATACCCCAGTTGTCAGCACACTGGTGGGATGATGGAGACCTTGTTCAAATCTCTGGTCCGTTTCATTTGGAGATGTTAGTGTGGGTTCTCCTCATCTCATGTTACTACCATGATAACTGCCTTCAAGTTTTTTTGCAGGGGTTGGGTTGTAGGTTTTTTTTAGTTCTTGTTTTTGGTTATTTGTCTTCCACAGCTCCCTGGCTTGAAGTTTGCAGGATAAGAAAGAAAGAAAATTATTCTATCGGTCTTAATTGGCTGTGCAGCCTTAATGAGCCAGCTAAATTTATTTATCCAGAAATATCTGTTATCCCACTTGATTGGCTGAAGTAGCCAGTGCCAAAAGACGACCAAAGAGAAAGTCTCCTCTCTTTCCTGCTGCTCCTTCCCTACTCGCGCCCCAGGGATGGGAATTGCAGTTGTTAGAAACAGGTTTTGCATTTGCAGCAGGAGGCTTGGGTTACTGACACTGGATTTCACTTGTCTGTATTTTTTTTCTCTACTCCAGGGGTGTTGGATTGTTTGTTGGAGTGGATCTGGTGAAAGATCAACAAAAGAGAACACCAGCCACAGCTGAAGCCCTTCACCTTATTTACAAGTAATTGGTTTTTAAAGACTATGTGCAGTGATCAAACCCTCCTAATGTTCCCTAGCAATTAGTCATTAATTTCAGTTTAAATTTGTGTAGCTTTTGATAACATAGTACTAGAAAAAGAAAAGTTTCAAAATCTAACTCAGCCTGAAGGGTCTGACAGGGCACAACATAGTTTTATACCTGTGTCTAACACAGATGTTTCCTCTTTCCACAGGCTGAAAGAGCATCAAATCCTTCTTAGTGCAGATGGACCCCACAGAAATATACTAAAATTTAAACCGCCAATGTGTTTCACAACGGAAGATGCAAAACATGTAGTGGAGACAATTGATGCACTGCTCACAGGTATGTGTGCTCAAAGGAATACTCTTCTTTGTTCATTTCCAGGTGACCCGTTAGAAACACCACCCACCATAATCTAGACCATTACATGCAAGGGAAGGTATCAGTTGCGTTTCTTACCACTTGTCCAGACTGCTGTTTTTAATGTCAATTATTATAAATAAGTAAAAAGCCCCATACATACTTTAGCCAAACTGACAAAATCCCACTCTTGATCCTTTCTCTCACAGAGTCAGTGTTGTTACTTATTTCTTGTCGCATATGCTATATGTTAAGCAGCAAATATATTAATTCATCACAGGCTTGAAAGACACTGCTGAAGAAGTGGCAAAACTTTCCATAATGTGCTCTACCTTATTATTTTTTTTTATTTAATTGGCATACTGGAACATGACTGTCTCACTCAAATTTAGCCTGAAGGTTTTCAGGCTCTATTTATCTTCTACCTGGGGACCAATCCAGGGGAAAATAATGTCAGGTATACTATTAGCATAAGGACTCTCCAAGCCTTTTCTACATTGAAAAATGTAGAAAATGCTACATTGAAAATGTAGAAAATGCTCCCATCTTCCCAGATTATAACAACTGGAGTTAGACTAGCACAAACCTGCTGGACAAAGGCAGAATTCAGCTCTGAAAGGTCTATCTGAACCCCCATCCTACAGTTAAGCTGCTAATTTCATTTTTTTTCTCTAAACACCCCCCCAAGCTACACAGTCCTGATGATACATTAATCACATCACCTCAGAAGAATGTTTTAGGAACTATTCATCATTCTTTAGTTATTCTTCTGTGTGATAAATGCCCAGAGGAATAGCTGATTAGGTATTTTTTACTTCAGCCAGCTGTTAAATTGACTGTATGCTTACTTACCTCTTGTCCTTTTTAATTTAATTATTTTATTACTTTTTTTAGAAATGGAAGAGGCAACTGGAATGAAGACAGAAAATAATGCATCTACAAATGCACAGTGTAAAAGAAAAGTATGTTTTGATTATTTTTTTTTAACTCTTATTTGGATAGGTGTTTGGCAAAGCAAGTGTATATTACTTTGGTAGAGCACGCCTTCATTTTTGGTTGCATGAGCGGCTCTGTGCCTTGCCACTGAGCTCAGAATGTAACCCACTACTAGAAACCTGAGAGGATTGTGTTACTGGGGCAAAACTAAAAAGAGAGGAGTAATACAGACCTACGATGAGAAACGTGTTATAGACAAGCCCCTCGCTTTGTCTCCTTGTGTGCAAACAAAACCGACCAGACTTTGGGCTGCACAAAACTGTGAGCTCAGCGGTCAACAATTTTACTATTTCTAGGTATTGTGCGCTACTGATGGATATTTGGATTTCTGAGCAAGCCTTCAGCTTGGAAGGTGTCCAAGTTTTTGGAGAGTTCCAAGGATTTAGTTTCCACCATAGCTCTTTGAGTCTGAATGGCTGACACGCATCCAAATTAGGACTTCTTAGGTGCAGCTCCAGCCTTGGATAAATCATACACAATTTCTCACACCCTTAAAAACACACGTCACCCACCGTGCTATAGGAAAGCTCGCTGAGCTGTTCCTTGGTGAGTTTTCCAGTCACGCTGTGAATGGTAGGAAGGCAGCAGCTCGGCTGTCTGGGAATGTAGTAATTAAGGCAGAGACCCTATGGACTACTGGCTACCTAGGTTATACTAGATTTGGGGTGCGAGACTCCTCTTACAGACACCGGTACACATTCGGTTCAATTTCTTTCAAAGCTAAGAAGCTGTGCCACTGAAAGAGGAGAGTCAGGCAGAGCTACCTAATGGGAAGCAAGCCCAGTGGCTGCCTGTTGGAAGACACGCACGTGCCTTCACTGACGCTTCATTTCTGTTTCAGACGACTGAAGGGAGTTCTCAACCAGAAGGTGCAAGTGACAGCGTCGGCCATATGAATGGAGCTGCCTGCAGACAAGAAAATGGGCTTTACTCTAAAAAACGCTCAGTGCCAAGTAAAAGAATAAGAACATGAAGAAGGAAAGTTTCCTCATTCAGTTTGAATTTGTGTCCGGCTTGCTTTTGAGATGAAGAGTGCAATAGTCCGAGTCCTAGGATCTGTTTGAAGCCTAGTCCTACCTTCCGTACACTGGCTGAATTCCTATTAGCTTCAGTAGGAGTTTAAAATACCTTTTCAGATACTTGAGAACTGCGCCATGTGGCTTGAAATCTAGATGTGACAGAACGGACAAGTGATCCACAAATACCTTGGTGCCGGGGGCAGGCCTGACATAGGTACACAAACTCAGTGAAATCTGTGGATTTACCCGTATCACACAGAATCTGAATTGCTTAACCATCATACAAGCAAATGCCAATCCTTTTAAGTTTAAAATTATATGCTTAACATGCTATTTTTACAATATTTTAAATTTCAATATGTAATATTGAGATGTTAATTACTTCCCATGTTTTAATGGCTGAATTCACAGAACAATGCTTGAGAGAGAAATCATTATTATCTTCCAGTGTAACTTGGGTCCTATGGACCGTATTCCCAGCTGATGTAAATTGACGTAGCTTTGTTAATGCCAACGATGCTCTACCAAGAGTCTACCACTGTGTGTGTAGAGGCTCAGTGTTTCTGCAGGGCATTCTCACTTTATGTTCCAAGAAAATGAAGAATCTGGATCCTAATTTTCTATGGATAAAGCAACTTTTATAAATAACTATTTATATAGAGTAAGATTTTGTTATTTTTTTCCCCAAAAGTTTATATATTGAACCTTCTCAGTCCAAAAAATATGCAAGTAGAGTATATATAATTTCAGACACACACTGATTGATTGAATTTAACCCGAGGGTCTCTCAAAATGAGGTTCCCAGGGAGAGCCCAGCTTGCATTCCCATGGATTTTAGTTGTTTTGACAGTCGTGGGAATTACTGCCTGATCCTGTTGTAGCAGTGCTGTTACTTTTTGTCAGTGATGATGAAGAGTCACATACCAGTTGTATGGGATCCTGACACATAAAGGGCTGTGCTAACATTTGACGGATTACTAAAATGAGAGGACCACTGCATAAAACATGCACGCAACCACTTTGCAGCCACTGCCTGTCTGTGCTGCAGATACTTTGGGCTGATTTGCCTCCTTGTCAGTGTTAAATTTCAACAAGAGCATGCAAGCCCTGCTTCCCGTTTTTAATACATGCACAACTCTGTGCTATGGAAGACACTGAGGGCTTTACAAATGGTTTGTACTTAAGGAAAAAAAGACAAAATTTATTTCTTCTTCAATTTTAATACCTAAGTTATGCTGTTTTGTAATTGCTGCTGCTGATCCTACTGATCTGACTGAAAATTGAGCACCTTATCTAATTTTGTGTTTTCCACAATTTGCTATATTAATTTTGATGTTTCTGGTGTAACGTCTTCCAACATCCTCAAGCTGGCTTATTTTCTGTTTCATGATCCTCGAATAATTCTTCCATAAGAATAAATCTCTTATTTGTAATTATGATGTCCTCCACAAAGAGTTTGTTTGTTTGTTTGTTTTAATTTTATTCTTCATTAACACCTATTTGATGAGGAAAGTAACTTCAGTTTTGGCTGGGGGTTGTCTCCATGCTGAAGCAGAACTGGCTAGGCTGTGTTTCCCCGAGATCCTACATGGCCCTCAGTTGTCAGCAGCTCTTACCCTCCAAGCCAGATGTTACCTCAGCTGCCACAATTCAGCCCCTGCTAACCCTGCACCAGGAAGGACGCCACAGGTCTTTTCCAACATGAAACCACACAAAAACCTAAGTCCACCTAATTTGGTATGTGTCCGAAGGCACAGTGTAGGTCGTGCCCTGTATGGAGTGCGGCTACTTATGTTGTACCTCATCTGCCACGTGCAGCAGCAGCAGCAGATGCGCTTCCCAGCAAGCAAATGCTTGTCCGATTTATTGGAAGGGTTAAGCGCAAAGGCACCACAGCCCATCAGTCTATACTAGGACACTGACTTTTGTGGCGGGTCATTAGTATTTAAGTTTCAACAGCATGTCAAAGAACTAGAAAAAAAGTCCAATTAGCCTAAATCTGGGGGGAGGAGAAGATTACAACTTCAAAACCACAAGGGGCCTGTGCCTCTGCCTCTGCTCTACCTGTGTCTTGCTTCTGCACATGCCTGAACTACATGGAACAACCATTGCTCCAATTTACTGTTTTTTTTCACCCAGTTTCTGCTTCACAAGTCAGGAAGCTCTCTACCTATCGGTTCTGCAAGTTAACCACAAGCCTTCTATTTTCTTTAAACAAGAAAGGCTATCACTTCTATGATATATACTGAAAAAAAACCCCTATCATGTAAATGGAGGAACCAATCCAACAGTTACCAAGATTTGAACTGGACCTACTAGAACTACTAGTGCTATGTCCTTGTTAATGTTCCCGCAGTATCTGAGTCCACCTGCAAGAGCATACACAATCCCTGCTGTGAAGGGCGGACTAATTAGAAGAGACCAACTAAGGGATGGGAGAGTGGAAGCCAAAATAATTAAGGCTAAACACAGAGAGAGAGCAGTTCCAGTCAGCTGAACTGATCAAATATATTCCCTCCACTGAACGGGCAAGGCTTTTTTCCCCTTTCCAATTTTCTGCTTCCCTTTTTCTTCCTTCTACTTCTCGTGTCCTGGCTGTGCAATTCCTGGTTGTAGCCATGTGGTTCAAACTCCATCCCAGCCTTTACATTCACCAGACACCTCTGTAAGTCAGTTCAATGGGCTAACCTTGCAGAAAAAGAATAAGAGCATGCTTTTTTCCCCATCAGTTTTCTTCAGGGCTAATGAACAGGCTCATGGAGGACACCTGAGCCTGCACCAGACATGCAGCAGGAGGAAGAGACAGTGGAGTGAGGCAGGATTCCATCCCAAGTCGGCATCACACGCTGGAGTTAGTTACTTTTATCTTCAGTCTAGCTCATCATCCTACTGGAAGCTGAATCAAGGTAATTTTATTGCATTCGCATAGTTTACTACTGTTTCAATCACTTTTGCACATTTAAGACTTTTAAGCAAACTGGTTAGAACAAGGGAAAAAGAAAGGACGATGCTTGCTGCAAGTACTGATGGAAGAGTGACACTGTGAGAGTCTGAATCCATCGCCAGTTAATTCCCTTACATAAAAGCAAGAGGGACTGAACCTGTGTGGAGTCAGAAAGCTGTGCCTTATACAGCACCGTTATGGGGAGAAGAATAAGGATCAAATGTTCCCATGTCAGGGAAACAGAGCATGCCTCATGCCCATATCTGGGAAAAAAAGCTTCAGCCTTAGCTCCATTAGACATTGCAATGGGAATACACTGAGTAGAAGAATTGTGCAGCAGTATTATATTTTGTTGGTTGCTTTTTAGATCTATCGTTTCTTAGACATACAACAGAGTTTTATCAGATAATACATTTATAATCTTCACAGCTGTTAAGCTCGGTGCCTGTGAACTAACAGATGGCCCCAACACACCAAAGTCCAGAGGGGAAAAGTTCCCCTATACCCCACCAGAAGAAGCAAGCACTGATCATACCTGGTTAAAAAAGGAAGATGAATGAAGGGGACCAAGGCACAAGCCTGAAACACGTATTTTTAGATGTGTCATTGCAATGTGCAAGGCATTTCTGTTAAAAAAAAAAAACAAAACACCAACAGAAACAACAAACATCATAAAGCAGAGACAAAAAATGAATTTTTAATGCAGTAAAAGTCTGGGTCAAATGTCTTACTGGTCCTGGGACACCTTCATCTAAAACCGCAGCTTTCAGCACCAACGTGCAAAAAATAGAGCCTAGAAAAAGAGGTTAAAAACACCCATCAGAAAAATATTTCTAAGTGGAGAAGTCTGTTTAAATGCCTCTTGCAAAATAGGACATGAATATTTGTACAGGTATCTCTTGGATAGTAAGTTCCCAGTGATGCAGATACTCTAAGCAAAGAGCTGAAAAAAACAGAAAATGTTAAAGAAGCTGCATTTAGTAATGTAACAAAGACAAAATAAGGAACTAGGATGTCAATGAAAGAGTATTCATTATACTGTACGGTTATGTACTGTGTATACACATATAAGCATATTGTATATATGCATGTTTGGTCTACTTTGTTGTTTTTTTCTCCGTTTAATATAATAATTTCGAAAAAAAACCAAGTGACTAATGCTTACAAGCAGAGCAAATTAGCTCATAGCAGCAGAAAGTCAGTTTAATTTTCCAAGTTGATGGCTTGAGCAGGTGTTCTAGTAGCATCCCTTTTCAACCTGGACCTGGCCTGTGCTGCTGCCAGCCAAGCTCTGGCAGAAGGATTATGCAAGGCAAGACAAGGCCAAATGACTGTGACGGGATTTCCCTATCTCTGCTACCCATACGCATTTGTATTTTCCCACCTGGAACATGTGGTTTTGTTGGTGTCTGTGGTTCAGCGGCAAAGCTGAATTAGAAAAGACAAGTTATGTTTTTGCATTGCCCACTGACTCGTGGTGTGACTGGACTGTGGCACGTTGTCTCTGCAGGCTTCAACTTCCAGAGATGCAGGCTATCTTACAAAGGCCACGAGAGAGAAGTCTACACAGGAGGACTCTTCATGCTGATATTTCATAAGGAAACACATTTGGGCCTAAATGAAGACCCTACATACCAAGCACCAAAAGTTTAAAGCCTTCACTGATTTTTACAGCTCAAGACCAATCTGCACTAAGCAAAACAATCTCCAGTCTCTCCCACCTCTGCTCACAGCCATTCATGTGTGTTGGAGTAAACACTGCTCCAGTATCACAATAACATACATTTACAACAATGTGGAATAAAAAAAAAATAAATCAAAGGAAGCGGAAGGGGAAGAACATGAAGAAATGTGTTTCGGCATGGCACTGAAGGTTGCTAAAAGTCTTTAATAATCAACAAGGCAGAAAGTCTTGTGGTCGCATGAAAGCCTGGAAAAGGATTCCTGGCTTCAGTGTAGCTATTTGTTCATTACACGGCTCAGCGAGTGATTTAACATCTTTATGTCTCTATTTACTTCCACAGATAAACACAGCTGTAATAACCTTTGTCATGGTTTGCAAAGGTCAATCACCTTATCAGGTGCAATCCCGATTATATAGGACTGCAAGTCACAAAGTACAGTTAGCTCAATTTACTTATTTGCAGTTACCTCATTTTATTCCCTACTTGCATGTGGTTTTGTCAGGAAATAAAGCCCTACAATGTGCAGTTCAAAGTCAGAGACTGATTATGCAAAATATCATGAAGCAATGAAGAGACACAACCACAGAACAACAGGGGAGCAA